TTTTTTAGTTGAAACAGCTGACTAAATTCTTTAATCCCCTTTAAATATGAATATAAGGTTAACATGGGGAACTACAGAGCCACTTGGGCGGAGCCCGAAAGGATTTTTGATATAAGAATATGCCTATATGTTAATTGGGAATGTGAGCTATCATCATGCCAAATTTCAGCCCAATCCGTCCAGTGGTTTATGTGTGATTGAACTTCAAAAAAACAAACAAACAAACATACAAACTTTCACATTTATAATATTAGCATAGACAAATAGAATAAATATAGACTGTCAAAGGAAGGTTCCGGCGCCCACCGCTAGGTTTGTTGTGTAGTTACGGCACACACCGCTGTAGGCGAGGAGCGCAGGAGCCGAATGTGATCAGCAGACGCTGCAGCGGTGTGACCTAGCGGTGGACGCCAGAACTTATGCTAACCGCAGCACAGCTGACGGTCTATATTTATTCTATTTGTCTATGATATTAGTAAGATTAAAGAATCTTAACAGCTGGTTCAACTAAACAATTTGATTATGTGATGTTCAATAGCATTAAAAAGTTAATAGGTTTACCAACAGGGTGCAGCACTATTATTGTTTTTAAATTTATGCAACAGCTGATTTGCAAAAGGTGGGTGAGCTTAGCGAACGAACTTCAACCTGGAGGTTGAGCGATGCGAACGATCTTGAAAATGAACGAGCATTTGACATAAAACCACATTAGGACAGGACAACGTCTGTCAGGCCAGCTAGTATCCTATAACTGTAATGAGGGTCTCATGTTCAAAAGTTGTTTGTAATTTTTTTGGTACATCTAGCAAAGTATAAATAATGCAAATACAGTACAATACTTTTATAAACAATAAAAATACATATTACTTTGATATAAATAACAAATATTCAAAAGATATTATGAATATTTATTATAGTGTCATAATTGATAGATACTTATTTGACTTCAAATAATTATTACAGTATATAAAAAAATCAATATTTGGTTCATTAACTTACATTATGACTTTAACATGCCTTAATTTTAATTTTGTTATCAATGTGTAGTCCTATCTTAAAATAGTGTTTTTCCATGTAAGGTGAAAATTACCTTAGCCTATAGTACATTTTGTTCATTTAAATACACTTTTTGATTAATTTAATCATACTCATAATAGTAATACTCTAAAACTAAATATTTTAAATTATCCAATTCGAAAAACACTCTCATTTTGAAAAAAAAATAACCCTTATTTATATGGGGATTGATAAGATCCTTTCAAAAATAAAATCCTACACACCATAAAAATTTAAAATTTCGACCAGTAAATTATGGGTGGAAAAATACTCCCTAGCAGATTTCTTACAGGACTTGACATGATTTAAAAATTAATTTGTGTGAGCTATGAATTAAGATTCTTTCCATTATTTTTTGTTCCTGAAATTGCTTCACGATATATTTTTGAGTTAAATTAAACCGGTCTACATCAGACAAATTTGTAATTTTCTCTAAATTGTATTATTCCTGTTATTATTTTGTTGTTGTAACTTTTTAGTTTTAGTTTTTCTTCTCTATCAATCGACCCTGAATCTGTTCACCATTTCTTTGGTAATGATGAATGTTTTTATGCAATAAATTGCTCATGATATATATGAGGTCCCTTGGTAACATAAGAAGCACAAATGGTTGCAAAGTGAGTTCAAACCCAGTAACTATTCTACCAACACAATCTGATTCTCTACACAATTTTAGAATACAAAGGTTCATCAGATTACAATCAGTTTGATTACACCATTGTTGATGAACACCAATAACAACAATCCCACATAGAGCAGAGGTTTTATCTCCAAATCATTTGTGCATGATTGATGAACTCACAAACTCGATAAAATTATGCTTTCAGAAAATTTCCCTGTAGGGAAGAAGCTATTACTATTGGTGGTACAGTAAGCCCTAGACCCTGGAGCGAACGCAACAAAGTGTGATAGTTCAAATCTAACTTACTTTACTACGGTTTGTGCCGGTTACCACCCCTATCGGATAATTTAAAGTGAGAGAAGAATAAGTGTAGGTTACAATTGAGTAAGATGATCTATGTAGCTTTGTTACTGTTTAAGATCAGCTGTTCCATTAGCCAGAATCATTTATTCAAAACCAGATCAGGAACAGCTGGGTATAGTTTCGAACCATCAAAAAGCTACTGACTTTTCTCAAGATCGATCTGGCAACCTTTTGATTGTTAGGGGAGCAGTATAACTACTCGGCTACTGTCATATGCTTAAATAATCAGATGATTATTGTTGTTTTTATTTGTTATTGTTTACATTTATTTTTTGTGTTGAATTAGTTCTACAATAAAGTTTACCAATTAATTTACGTGTATTTTGTATATTTTATGAAGATATATCAATGGCGACGAGTGATAAAAGTGAAAATGAAACTAGAAAATTAAAACAACAAAGAGGAATCATTAAGTCTCAAATTACAAGGACTTTACATGTGCTAAAAACCAAAGGTTCATCTATATACGATGCTTTGGGCAGACAATCTCTACTGGATGAAACGTGGAAAAGATTCACTTTGTTACATGAAGAAATTATAACAACTGACTGGTGCTTAAAACAACTAGACAAACTATTTGCAACATTTGGTTTTCCTCATGTCCTCGTTTCAGACAATGGGACTCAGTTTACATCAACTATGTTTGAAAATTACCTCAAGAAGTATCAAATAACACATAAAACCATTGCTCCTTTTTGTCCAAAATCTAATGGTCAAGCAGAAAGGGTAGTTCAGACGGTGAAGAACCTCTTACATGCTTGTGGGGGAGGACACAATGAGGATAAGATAAACATGATACTGAAACAGCTGAGGAAGACACACCATTCGGCGACAGGACAATCTCCATACTTGCTTATGTTTGGAAGAAACATAAGAACCGAAATGGACTTAATGGTTGAGACTAAACCTACCCCGCAAAATAAAAGTCAAGTTATAACTAGAAGAAGTTTCTCAAAGGGACAAGGTGTATTGATGAGAAATTACTCAAACGTCTCAGGAGAAAAGTGGTCAACAGGAACAATCGAAAGGCCGCTTGGGCAAGTGATGTACCTCGTTAAATCAGAAGACGGGTGGTTATTTAAGAGACACTGCGACCAACTAAGAGCAGCTTAATAGGGGGGAGGATTGTCATATGCTTAAATAATCAGATGATTATTGTTGTTTTTATTTGTTATTGTTTACATTTATTTTTTGTGTTGAATTAGTTCCACAATAAAGTTTACCAATTAATTTACGTGTATTTTGTATATTTTATGAAGATATATCAGCTACCCAGTTAGTTACCTTGTCTTGTTATATTGATCAGTGTGAAGGAAAATTTACACTCCCTCCAAGCATAAATAATTTTCTTTAATTCGAATACTGAGGAATAGGAATCAACCTTTATTGAAACCTGCGGTCAGTTATTTCAGGATTTCGGGAAAGCACATTTACACAACGAGGAAGCAGGGGCGGTTGGGGAAACTGCTTACTGACCAGCAGGTTTAAGTCCACCAAGGTTTACCATTGTACTTGATTGTCTTAGAGAGACGTAAAATAGTATCAGTTTGGCAATCTCTCATTCAGTCACACAGCAATCAGCATACTAAATTTCTTTAACTTTAGTCACTGTTACAAACATATGATAAATGATTACAGCCGGCCTATTCTGTGAAAAAAAACGTAAAATTTGTACAAATATTTCATTTCACCAGGTCCAATTAATAAATGGGTCCAGGCCCATAGTGCATCACAAGGGAACCGCAAGGGGGAAGCGGGAAGTTTGGCCTATGTAATATTTATTACAATCTGAACAGTTGATTTTGTAAACACCACTTTTTCATATTTAAGTTTAGTTGTACTTGGTCTTTCTTTCAGAAGTGGTCCCAGATTGTTTTTTGTTCAAAAGGATACTGTTATGTGATTTTTCCCCATTAATGATTTGAATTTATTACTACATAGGCCAAACTTCCCGCTCTTTCTCCAAACGCTTTAAGGAGCACATACCAAAGAAGACCACCTCAAAACAAACTTCAACCTTTGCCGAACATTTAGTTTCTCATCAGCATAATTACAGCAGCATTAATGATAACATGGAAATTTTACATACGTCACAGGACAAGTTTAAAATTAACACCCTGGAAGAATTCGAGATATATAGAGCCGTCAAATCAGACATGGATAATGTTTTAAACGACCAACTTTATTTTAATTCAAACGTCATATACAACACTGCAATAGAAATACTGGAGAGGGAAGGGGAGGGCAGAGACAATGGGAATGGAACCGACGAGCGATAAGAAAATGCGCGTGATGCTTGACCAGCTGTTTACCCTACAGTCTAGACGCAACATCCGCATTCTCAACACGGGTCCGCTTGTCGAGTTCGATGTTTTTATCGGCCGTATATGTGTTTATTCGTCGTGTGTTTGTGTGAATGTAAAAAAACTGTTAATGACGACCTTCATATGAAGTAATTTCATCCTTGTACTCACCTGATGATGACCTCCTAGCAGGTTGAAACTAGTTGTGAAGACCACAATCGGATTGCAAGAATAAGGTATTTAAACCACTATCATAGTTATTATTCGCGATCCGGAGGCTACTCACACCACAATGAAAATTATTAGGTCTGTCATCTGGTAAAGTGAGTTAATATTACTGTGTTATACGCCGTACGGGATGATTAAATAAATACGCTGTACAGGAAAATTGTAATTGAGCGGACTAATAATAAAGCTGCAAAGTTAGCAGGATTTCCTTTGATCAGTATGAGATAGTTTAAAACAAACTGTTGGAAGATGGTTAATTTACCTAATTCAATGAACAAATAACTAAAATATGGGTTGTATTTACTTTGAGCAACCAAAGAGGTTGTTTTTGGATGCAGCGAAATTCTCTGAATATTGGGAGCATGACCCAAGACCAATAATAAACCACACACACAAACATACAATAAAAAGTAATAAGAAAAACCTACCTGAGCAACATTTTCAAAGTGTTCGTGACTTTTCTGGTAGACTCTTGCCTTCTGCAAGTTCCTTCCGACTCCAGTGTTTTTTCTTAGGAAAACTTCACCGTGGTTTGCTAGCCAATCTAGCACCTGCAAATTAATAACAGAATGCGTAAGTAACTAAAACCAATTAATCTTCATAAATTGGAAAAAAAGTTTTGTTGGTAGGAAAATTACATGGATAAAAACAGTTTTTCAAACTCAATGGCTCCTAGAATGGACTTGATGGTCCAACTTGTGATATGAGCTAATACTAGCAGGCAAATTTAATTATGAAATAATATTGTTTCTCCTGAAAAAGAGATCTACCCTGATGAAACCAGGAGTGAACTATTTGGGATAAGTACGTTTTAGTTTTTTACGGTTCCTCAAGCATAGGATATTCATTTTCCAGGTAGGCTATGGTGATCTAGCTAAATGCTGTACCCTTTCTATACTCTATTTATAATTATAAACCGAAAATAACTCCTTGTTCAGCATTGTACTTGTTATTTTATTTCTGTAATTGTAAACAGTTATTTATCATCTGCAGTATACATTTGTCAGAGTTAAATACTAAGTACTGATCTTTTATAACCAAACTTAAAAAAAAGGTATAAGGAGAATCAAAAATGTCATTTTCAAACTGCATGTTTTAAATTAATTACAAAAAACTTTATCACCTTCAAACAAACTAAAATATCAGTTTTTTGCTAAAAATTTGATGGTTTTGCTGCCATAAGCCCCGTGGATGCGACTCATATTAACTCCCAAGAAAGAAAGGCAAAAGATATGACAATAATGACAAAATTTTGAAAAGCCAAGACAGAATCAATCAAGTTCATATCTGAAGATAAGTTTAAACATATTTTTAACCGATGAATTGAATTTGACTCAGTAAAATTTTTCTTCTAGATTTGAAGGTGAGCATTAAACCCACTCATCTATCCAGATAATTTTACTACTTATGACCCAAGTAATTTACCTGTTTGACGTCCTCCTGGAACAGCCTAAGTGCAAGTCTCTGATGCAGTTTGATCTTCTTGGAGTGCCAGCGATGCTCTAGACTGCGGTGGTGGTTGAGGATCTGATGTATGACGGCCAGCACGTGACTGGCACCCTCCGAGTAGTCAGCTGCAGGGTTGCCACCCTGACGACTACCAGACGACGAGTCCGACTGTCCACTCTCGCCCTGGGCACCACACAAAAATTATAGATTTTCTATTATAAAATACTTTTATTAAAACATGCCAAGTGAGAATTTTCAACCCCTAATGTTAAACTTGAAAAGTAACCAAGTTCTTATATCAGACTCAAATTTTCATTATAAAATCAAACTTTTTCTATTGAAGTCTTAACCCATTGAGTACCAGCCTTCAAGCATTAGAAAAAACAATTCTTTTCTTACAAGAATAAATCAACAAATAAGTATGAATGAATATGAATGTTTTACCTTCTCCCGTTCCAATTCGCTGCTAATTTGCGACACGTTTTGTCAAACCACCGCCATCATCAGGCATCCACCATCCTCTATAGCTTCGTCATCACACATAATTATTTACCCCCCAAAAACAATAACATACATTTGTGTGTCATCTGTGATGACCGTTTTATTTTTATATTCATGGCAAGGTGCCTGATGATGTCACTGTATTGACAAATTACATGGGATTTCACAAATTACCATGGGATTGGAATGCCAGAAGGTAAAACTGGCATTTATAAATAGTTGACATTCCAGTAGTAGGAAAAATGAATTATAAATAAATATGATGAAAATGTAAACTTTACGTTTTCTGCAATATTACAACTTTGACCTTTGAATTAGCAAGTATTTGATCATGGCATTGAAATTACGTCCTATAGATTGTGGCTCCGACCAGGACACAGCCCAATGGATCTAGAGTTCTAATTCCGTTAAGGTAATGTTTGACTTAAAATTATGAGGACTTTTGCCTGTCACCCAACCAAAATAAGTGATGGACATATCACATGATGGTAGTTGAGGTGTATTTATTACTATGTATTACACACATAGGTGCACACATGAGTGAATTTCTTGAGTTGCATCTAAAATCAGGTATTATGCTCCTTTTTACTTATCATTACTGTATGTGTTCAATGTTTAGAATTTTTAGTCCAAAAGACAAGAATGAAATGTAACCTGTTAAATGTTTATTTTGAGCTCAATCCTTGAAGCAAAGTAAATTTTAACTGTTGATGAATTGAATACCATTCATTGACATCTTAAACTTTGATTAACTGCTTTCAATATTTTAAGATACTGGTTTATCAAGATTTAAATCACAAAATATTAAATTAAATTAGTTATTTCGCAAGCAATTGCCAAGTAAACCACCACCAGGGGAAAAAAGCAAATAATTCAGTCAGCTAAAAGGTTAAACATCTACCTTCACCTTGAATTCACCAAGATAATCATGCAAACTTGAGGTTAATTGCAATCTCTTCTATGCAACAAATATCACAGTGAAAAAATTGTAAAGGGTTGTTTACTAGGTGGAGAAATATTGACCTAATTTTCATTTGGGTACACTAAGTGACTTAATTAGGTTAAAGGTATATGCAAGGTATTTGTCGACATTTACTCCATGTTTCATGTGAATTTAGGAATAAGAGCAGGATGATTTTTAGGAAAATAAATGCTGAAAACAGGGTAACATCGGGAAAACCAGCAAATATATGATATAATTATTATAGGCCTGGGTTCATTTACTATCAACTATCACTACTGACCACCTAGAAGTACTAAGGGAGAATTGTGACGGCTGGTCAGATTATGTTTAAGTTATTGCATTTCAGTCATCAACTTTTGTTTTAGACTAGACGTTCATCTACGTATTGACATTGTTGCCGGTTATTTAATCCAAATGGGCGTAGTTAAGTGAGCACCAACAAATTGCTCTGATGTAAATTACTGATTTCTGTTGCATATGAGTAAAAAAATCTGCAACAGCTGGTCCATGTAAATTCAATGTTCAAAAGCATTGACTTTGGAATAAAGAACTAATCCATCTACTGAGCCAAGAAAAAGGTTGTATTTTAATCTGCTCGAGTCTACACTAGAATCTAGGAACACTGATGACATTGGCTGGCAGGCTAGGCCTGAGGTGAGGTGGTAAGTGAGGGAAATGACATTAACTACTCTGTAGCCATTAGATGATCATGTATAAAAGTGATATTTATAGTTTGAGTTTGAAACAATTACAGCGACAGAAGATTCTAGTATTTATGTTACACTCAATCTCCGAATTCGGACAATGTCCGAAATTTCTACCCGCTCCGTGATGTGGAAAGTGCGAAATACCCACGTCGCGGAGTGAGCATTTTATTCGGATATTGGCCGAAGTGAAATGCCCAGACTGCGTTGTGGGTAAATTTATTTACTCAAATGCTGAAGTCAAAACGTTCTTCGGCGATTGAGCAAATCCAAAATACCCACTACGCGATGTGAGCAAGAGGGATTGCACACGTCCGGTTGCGGGTATTTCTAGTTTGTGCAAACGCCGAATTGTGCAGCTCACTTACGAGTCGGTCATAATAAAGAAAAAGCTATGGAAGTAGAGCTTAAAAAGAAATTTTGCAACATTACCAGAGAGGTGATTAAAATATACTTAAATATATGCGAACCTTGCTTACTGAAGAAAAAATCTCAAAGTTTAGTTTTGGTCGTTAAGCCAATCAACCATTACGACAGCATTAAATTCACGATGTGAGGTAAAATTAGTTTTTATTTTTAAATCCTTTCGCTAAATTAGAGTGACTTTAGAAAATGCTCGAGCTCATGAAATGTTTAGCGAATTGTTGTACAGTATGTCTAAATCTCAATAACAAATTTATCAAAACTAGCAACGTACTAAGTCTACACTCTTGGCACAAGACATGGAGTTCTGGACAAACAGTTTTCGAGAAATAACCTCCAGGTGGCTCCAAATAAATTTCTTTGCACCAAGGAAGTACCGATGACCAAGTAAACGTACGAAAAGAAGCGATGGTGTCATCCGGATCCAAACAAGGTTTTGTAAGGTGGTTGCAAGAAGAACTGTTTGAGTAAATCATGTTAACGTAAAATGCAATTCTGCGTAAAATGCACTTGCCATGGCAGCACATCTTGTGCCAATAAGTAAAAGAAAGGCGTAACAAGAACTGTGTGATAATCGGTGTTTTAAGGTTACTCCTATTTTTGTAAAGCGGAAAAACATAATTTCAATGTATTTGTAATGGGCCTTTTTATATTTGTTCCTATTCGGTAATTTGCAATTTTCTTGTATTTTCTAAAACGCTATTTATACCATTAAATAATCACACACATAAGTTAAATTTTAATAATTTTACCTAGTGATTGTGGATTTCATGTAGATTTTTGGGTATATGGTGGTTTATACAGGCTATTCGGCGTTTACGCAAACTAGAAATAGGTACCCACAACCCGACGTGGGCAATCACTTTTGCTCACATCGCGTTGTGGGTATTTTGGATTTACTCAATCGCCAAAGAAGGTTTTGACTTCGGCGTTTGAATAAATCAGTTTACCGACAACGCGGTCTGGGCATTTCGTTTCCGCCAACGTCCGAAATAAAATGCTCACTCCGCGACGTGGGTATTTCACACTATACACATCGCAGAGTGGGTAGAAATTTCGGACATTGTCCGATTTCGGAGATTGAGTGTAACATATACACTAGCAGATTCAAATGCACTGTTTTTTTTGCTCGGTTCTGGGTTAGGTCTTTATTCTGGTATTTTATGTTCCCAATAACTACTTTCAATCATCAATCACTACTACCTTTGACTATCAATACAACAGTATCCAATAGGCCTAGTCAATGCTACTACTTAGTGTCTGATTTTGAAAATATACTAATTCGGTGACATATATGATAAAATTGTTTTAATGTTTTTGATGGTGGGCGATACACCAAAGCTTAATGGACACATAGAATAAAAATTTTTACAATTTAGATTAGTGAAACCTGACAATGTTTCAAATCACTATTTGCTGGTATATTACCTTTGTACCTAGGGTCAAAAACAAATTTCATGGAAAATTAAATTAATCAATCAAAAACTACAAAACAAAACAAAAACTGCACACACGTTCCATTTGGTAAAATGGATAAATCATATAGACTTACAGCATAACTCTTCATCTGCCTTCTTCTTACACTCTTGAAATAAAAGACAAATTATGTAAAAATTAAAAAGAAATAAAAGCAGTATGGTAAAATTGTGTAGTAAAAACAATAAAAATAAATATTGAAATCAAGTCTTAATTTAAGTATACAGTAGTTTAATTTCCATAGTTGAATGACTGGTCTAGATAAACTAAATTGGAAAAGTTAACAAAGAAAAGCTGACATTTTTAATGTCAAAAGGTAGGTGAGTAGGTAGCACCACAAACTTTGCACCCAAGGCAGTGATGTTGTGGGTTCTGATACTGGTACCTGCCACTAGTTATGAGTACAGGTCACCTTTATACTGTACAGGCTCACCCCTTGCTTTTGTCAAACAATGTTCCGCACACAGGCCTCTGTGGCCCATGTGGATGGGCAAACGCAAGGTTAAAGACAAACCTCTTAAAAAAATCTTTTGAAAAAAATTTAAGAGATTTTATATGACTCTAGAAATTAATCACTAGAACCTATTCGCTCTTACTTCATAGTCTAAATGCAAGCCTTATTTACTCTTATTCCATAGTTTGAAAAGTGGAATTTATTGACTGTCATTTCATAGTTTGAGAGAAGAAACTTATTGACTCTCAGGAAGGTGGAACTTGTATTTTATCTTGTGTGAGGTGACACTTAATGACTCTTATTTCATAGTTTGAAAGCTACATACAACACCTACATGTTTTCTAGTCGGATGTTCCAAAGGCGGCTGATTGCACACTTGCACCAAGTGATCCAGTTGATAGAGTAGTTTTTTACTGGTGCTATGAACCTACACCACAACCCATCAGTTATAACCCATAACCAAACACAATACATCTTTAGACAAATAATATGTAGAGCACACATGAGAGTAACCGCCACCTAGAAACACAAGAACTTGGACATGTTAATTATTAGAGTATTGAGATACAGCAGGAAAAACTATAACTAGCTAACCAGTACTTAAAACTGTGTAACCTTCACCAAACAGCTGTAAATGAACCATATGCAGCAATCACAGAAAGCAGTTTAGTTAGCAATGCAGAAACTTTCAAATGGTACATCTTTTTAGCAAATTTCCCATTGGAAATAAGCTAGGTACTTTGTTTATGGCATAAATTATTATGTCTACATATCTAGATGATACCTTACGTAAAACATACTCCCTTAGTAGATTTCCCATCCTTATGGAACAGCTTAAGCAAATTTTATGGTTAGTTCTGTCCGGTGAACTGTAGAGGATGTGTTTTGTTTACAATTTGTTTCTTGTTATTTCAGTCATTTAAAACCCCGTTTAACCAAATAAAACTATATAATCATAAACAATTACTTATACTCTAGTTATATAACCAAACAGTAAAGCACAAATCATGAAATTAACTCTAAAATAATAGAAAAAAATTTCGTCAACACTAGCCAACAGTGTCACTGGAAGACACGAAAAACGAACGTCAAAATTTACAATGAGATGGGAAGTCTACTTGTGTTGGTTAGTCTATGATGATACTATTGAAGCTCACCATTTTCTTATCTCATAAACCAGTATTAGTAATTGTTGGTTGCAGATTCGTTGTCTAGTACACTCAGGAACAACTACTAGATAAAAAAAAACATGCCACATTTGAAATCTGATTAATCCTTTTTACTGCTATCACCAACAACCTAGTGACAGCGCCACCTAGATTCTCAATTGCAGACGACAGCTCCAAAACAATCATCAATAGCCCACTACCACGGCCACCTTTGTCTAGAATAGATATGTATCATTAACCAGCACCACTGCCACCTAGATTCCTCCATTACAGTTTACAGCTGTGAAACACAAACATTAGCCATCACCAATAGCCCAGTACCACTGCCACCTATATACCTTTACTTTAGAGTGGATCTGTGTTAAGTAACATATATTAACCAACCCCACTGCCACCTAGATTCCTCAATTTCAGACGACTGCTGTAAGAAACAAACAGCCAACAACATCAACCTTGTACCAGGGTCTTCTAGAGACTCCTAATTCAGATTGAATCAATCTAGTAAGACGCAATAACCTCCACCAACACTCTTGCAACACTGCTACCTAGGTCCCTTCACCGCAGACGACAGCTGTACGGAACAAATAACCATCACCAACAACCATCACTGCCATACACCTTCACCACCGCAATCCAGATCTGTAAAGTAACATACATTAGCGGAGGCCAGCTTGTTGTTTCCGTAGCGGATGTACGGTGGATTGCTCGGCGGCTGAGGAAAGTTGATACAGACTTGGACTAACAGATCCAACCCATTCAGCAGAGACTGGTAAGCGTTGTAAACCTGACATACAAAATGTGTTACATAACAGAACTATTTTAATCAAACATAATTGTATAAGAAACTCTTGAGTAAGTAAACAACAAATTATTGTATCCAGAAACATAATGGTAAGTTACTCTTTTGTAGAATTTCTGTATTTTTTGCCACACCAACCATAGTCATCTCCCAAAAAAGATTTGAGAGTCAACTTTTACCGTCGAATCCTACCATCTAGTACGATTATTATTGTCAAAAATGGCTGTAAATCATGTGTAGGTACACTGTACCTATCAGTAGACGTTTTTAACTAAACCACAGAGAAATAAGGTACAGAGGAAACATTCAATGGTACTAATATGTATGTGGTGTCTAGCACTAGTTGCTGGTGTCTAGGGCAATGTCAATAACCGCCCCCCTCGCCATCATGTACTACGAAGCTCTTGGTGGAGGAGGCCCTGTGCCTGGTTTGTTCAGGCTCTTCCTTGCTCCTAGCAATTATATTTCCAACAAAACATACTTGAGCTGAAAGCTCACAGTTGTCCAATAACAAGCACGTTTCCTCTGCACTTTAATTCTCTGATACTGCCCTAACTAACTACAGTGGCGGCGATAGTGGGCCCGTAGGGCACGCGATGCGGGGGGGCCCCGCGAGCTAGGGGGCCCGTGAGCCTTGACCGGGATTTTCGGTAAATTTTACCGGCACACGGGCCCGCGATAGTGTGACAGGCGATAGTGTGACTGGCTCAGCCACACGGGTCCCCTATCATAACAATATTTATATGAGAATTAAAATAGGCTACTTTTTTTATGATTAAATTTGTTTAAACCTATAGTTGAAGTAGTTTACAACAACTAAACTAACACTATTACTTGGCCGATCGATATAAATGATCTACCAACCTAAGTAAAAGAATTGTCATCAGTCATGCGGGTTGCATTAACTGTCCTCGAGGATTGTGTGAAGACGCAGTCAAAATTGGTTGCATAATAATAGGGCCGTATTTATAACCAATGTGGTCTTTGTCATCGTCACCCGCGGGGAAATGTTCTCGTCGATATTCGCGATCGCGGCAAAAGCGTAGGCCTAATCTTTCAATTTTGTGAGCGTGATCCTCCCGGATATAAAAGCTTTTACTTTTAGTTGTGCATTATTGTATTGAATACTGAGAAAATCGGCTCGAGCTTGATTTTCTGACTTTGTGCTTGATCTCTCAAGCTTGTAGTCCAGGCTCTGCTCGGCTCGAAAATTGACATTATAGGCCTATTATAAAAATCAACCGTTTCCAAAGCAACCCGATCTTGAACGCACTAAAAATGTTACTAAGGGCCTCAGGCCAAATCAGATCGGTTCAAAATCGGGTTGTATTGGAAACGGTTGATTTTTATAATAGCAATAGGCCTGTAATGTTGATTTTCGAGCCGAGCAGAGCCTGGACTACAAGTTTGAGAGATCAAGCACAAAGTCAGAAAATCAAGCTCGAGCCGATTTTCTCAGTATTTAATACAATAATGCACAATTAAAAGTAAAAGCATTTATATCCGTGAGGATCACGCTCACGAAATTGAAAGATTAGGTCTACGCTTTTGCCACGATCGCGGATTAATATCGACGAGAACATTTCCCCGCGGGTAAAGAAAAAGTATGTTTTCTGTGCCGCGGGTGACGATGACCATGTCTCCGTGGCCGCAGATGTTCAATATTTTACCGCGATTGCAGAAGACGATAATGATGTTTCTTTTTTAGCGAGAGATATATCTAGGATTTAGCCGCGATTACGGAAAAATGATTTACCCGTCACCACCGACAGGTCGCGGGGAGATATTAGGCCGTGATATTAGATTGGGTCGTGAACGCGGGAGTCGATGATGCTGCTGTCTAATGATGTCATAGGTTTGGTTGCATTTGCAATCACGGTAAACTATGATAATGTTTCTTCCATGACTTATGACTACGGGAAGTATTTATGATTTTGCCGCGATCATGGAAGACGATAATGACGCCTCGGGAGATGATAATGATAATGATAATGATAATGATAATTTATTTGCACATAACATACAAATTTGTGAAAATCACATGTACAGGTGCTTCGTCTTGATCTCTTAAAAATTGATTCTCAGTCCTTAATTATTCTAAAACATAAATTGGTTCCTAAGATGTTGATCACAGTCTTAAATTTAGTGCTACAATACAACATGAACATATTCAAACATAACAAGGTATAAAATTTGTAAATCTACGGGTAACAAAATGGCAACAAAAAAATTAACAGAGAATAAATATATGAACAATGATGCCTTGTCAGGTGTATTGCAAAATTGCAAGTTTAGGTGGTAATACACGGGAAAATGTATTTAAAGATCATTGGGAGAGGGGGGCCCGGAGAACAAACTTGCGGGGGGAGGGGGGGGGGGCCCGCGGGTTCTTATCGCCGCCACTGACTAACTAATAAGATAATTTCTGACTTATCTACTTTATATATTCACTTGCAGTTCACAATGTGTTATCAAAATGTTATCTGAATTTTTAATAGGTAGGGTGATTATGGTTTCAATAAAAATTATTTTAATTACGACAAAATATAGGCAGTTAGTTTTCCTCAAACAGTAAAAACTCATTGTACTTGTTAAGCCTTAAGATATTGCACCAGTAAAATATCTTCATAAACTTTATATTCCTTCACCTAAAATTGTTTACAAACATAAAATATACAATGAAATATAAACCATAAATTAACAATACATACCTCAGTGTACGCCTGACACATAGACTCGTAAAGGTTTTGGTGTTGATGTATCACAGTTTCTAAGACGATAATTTCACTTGGAATTGCCATGTTTTCACACGCTTGACTCCAATTAGGCACATTTTCTACATACTGTAAAAATAAATGATGATTTTAATAAACTGATAAGGATTTGTGCTAATAATTGACTATTTTATCATTATTTTTCTTTGCCTAACAAAAGTATTCTACAAAAGTATTAATTTTAATTCCTTTGTTATTATTATGGAGAATAAATGAACTGCTGTAGTTTGCTTTTTAAAATATATTATGTTAATCAAATTCGGCACATTTGGTTATTTCAAACTAAGCAATAAACATATAAAAACATACTTTATCTCCATTATTGTACAGCTATACAAAGTACTCATTAAAATTTATGTTATTTCAACATGAAATTAGTCTGACAATTTAAAGGAAATATTTTAGTGAAAATCCAACCAGGTAAATAAATTAGCTTAATCTGCAGGTTTGCTGCAGCAAGAGTATTTTATGTTGGTTTTTTGCATGTTTAAATGATGTATTGGTGACGTAGAAAACTTAGATAAGCTTGGTTTTGACATCATAAACTGATAAAGCTGATTAAACTGGATAATTTTGGGATTGTTAGTCAGCTGACATATTGTCATAACCAATCACTCAACCGTGACACACATCAAGGTTCGTATTTGAAGTAGAATATGAAAGCAAGGTAGGTATTTAAAGGAATGAAAATCTGTTTTGCTTTATAAAAACTAAGATCTGTTCATTTTGTCAGGACGTTTTTTCAAGTTCAATAATCAGGTGAATCTAGTTCGGAACCATCAGAAGCTACTGACTTTTCAATTTCAAACTCTGACCTTTTATATTATGCTACTCTACGTTTGACAATTGGGAAAATTACTTACTTGTTCAGCTTTGTGATGGAACAGAGTGGACAAAGCCAGTACAGCCGTCCGCTCGTCTAGTCCGGCCGCAAACTCTTTCCACGCTCGGTCGAGCCGAGCAGCCACCGCTCGGATGTGAGCAGCCGCGTAATGACCCGTCTCCATCATACGCGATGCAACGGCCAGGATACGGTTGATGTTCACGTAAACATTCTGATGAACAAAACATACGGTTAAAGAAATTAAACATAAGGTTTAGAATATATATTAATTTTTAGCCTGTGAGGATTTGGTTTGATTTAAACTTAAACAAACAGCCATTCAAATATTTTTGTGGATATGTTCAAACCTATCACAAAGAGCATTTTATTTGGACTTCAATGTTGTTTTTAGGTTATTACTTCAAAGTCACCAAAACTCGATAATACTTAAAATGGATATTTTTAGCTAATAAATTGATGACATTATTTTACATAAAAAAAACTAATTTATTCTTACTTTCTTAAACGTATGGGTAAAAGTTTTTATCCTAAGAATAATTATTAGGAGTCCAACAAATCCAAAACTTATGAAATGAAACTACCTTTATGATGTAAAAAATACGGAAACATAGAACTGCACTATACAAAATTCATGAACACAATATTTAACAAAGAGATTTGAAACTGGCAAATCACACAAATAGCAGCAAAACAAATTTAAGCTTGCATGGCTAAGCGACGGATTTATAACAAGATAAATGTTTATTGTTTTGGCTACTTTATCAAATGAAAGTTGATGAATTTATGTTAAAGTAAAAAAATAGCAAAAATTGCATGATTCTGAAACTATGAATATTCATAATTAGTGATTACAGCTAATGAATGGTATATACGGCCAAAGGTGAAGCTGAGAAATGTTTGTTTGTACAGTAGAGTCTTACTATTACAAACTCCAAAATTAAAAAATCTGCCTATTTCAAACTAATTACGAAAATTGTTTAGTTTTCTTTTAGTTAGTTTAAAACTAACTATGTCACAACAAACACAATTCGTCAAAACTAGCAATGTCGTCAAAAAGCTGGCAATGCCGTCTCGAACGTCAAAGGCGCAATATCGGCCAAGTTGCAATATCGGTGTGTTGTTGGCAATGTTAGCAATAACGAAGAGAACTTTGAAGATTCTACCTACGGTTTCGTAAATCATACTTCAGCAAGGCTATCAATATTTCCATGAACGTCGTCAATTTTGCATGAAATTTCCTAGAATCAAGTGATGTCGCTCGCGTTAACAAAGCTAACGACATCACGACACACAGTGGCAAATTCAGCAAGAAAAAAATTTGCACTGTTGTCACAGAATTTAGAGAATCTGGAGATGATACCACAACCGTCGACAAAATTGGTAATATAACCACAAACTTTGGCGAAAATTAGTTTCATCTCTGTTTACAGTAGAAAAGCTTTCAATACATTAAAGTGTTGCAGCAACTGTTTTATTTTCTCCTGTGATTGTAGGGACTTTGTCAGCATATTTCATACTTGCAGCTACACAGACATTGACAAGGATCGCAAAAACTTTGCCTTTGATACGTTGTAATCAAAATTTTTGCTAACATGAAAATGGTTTGTTTCAATTGTTTCCAGTTAGTTCGGAATCATAGGACTCTACTGTATTGATGTGATAATAATATTTCATTCCAAAAATGTAAAATCCCAAATCAGTGTAAAGCACTTGCCCATGGTATTAGCAACTTTAATTACAAATAAGATTTTTTGTCAGAGATTCAGCAATAACAAAAACATATTTATTTTGCCAAAAAAAAGCAAAATTAAAACTAGAAATGTTTAACATCAGCACGAAAAGCTCAACGCTCTATTTATTAGCTAACCAGTTCTCATGCTAGTTTTTCAGCCTTCATAGTTTAAAGTGCTCACATCAAATCGTTGGACATCACTGCAAGTGGCCATCTAGTAGAAAATAAGTTATTTTCCAATCAGTATAAGTATGAATATTTCACGATACAGGTATGAGTTTTTAAACCTAAGAGGAAAAAATCTTTTGTTTACAATTAGTTTCCTCGACTCTCTCAAACGATATTGGACACATAACACACAGCATTAAAACAGAAGGACAACGAACAAAAATTTTACAAGAGGATGAGAAGATAACTTACAAAACCAATAATCTACAGTGCCAAGATGTATTAAGGGAGAAGGATCAGGGTTATAACAATAGTACTATTATTTTATCAGGGATTTTTGTCAGGATAGCTTACTTGAATGGGAGAGACCCAATCTGGCACAAGAAAGAAACAATCCTTAACACTATACAAGAGCAATAGGCACTGTCACAATCCAGAATTATGTGCTTTGGAGTCTCATCAAACTCGTTGCAAAGTCGACACTCCTAGTTGTCGTTAACTTGGGACTATGAGAAGAGCCGTGTTTGGTCAAAAGCAGCCAGGTGATGAACCTGATGCTAACACTGAGCAAAAGCTCCTGGACCTCGTCAAGGACACGGGTACAGGCTTACCTACTTAGTGGCAAGTAGGGCATGCACAATTAGCTTCGGTATACGTGCACGGACCTTGAGTTTGCCCCCTCATACAATACAATACAAAAGGCAATTACAGGCTACCATTCAACCTAAAGACATGTATTTCCCTTCCTAGGCTGAAAGTACTGTCAGTGACATAAATAGTCTATAGTACCGTATAAAGTTATGTGGTGCAAATACTTTTGTGTTTCTTGTTTTAAAGCGGCCCTTTTCTCATTATTTAGGTAAATCTGCTATCCCGACAAAAATACTTAAACCTTATGGTAATATGGTTTTTGTTGAAAAGATTTGTTTTTCTTCTGGCAATACTAACCATGGAGCTCATAGTGAAGTGGTTATGCTCCTCCTGTAGTTCCTTGGCGAGCTGGTAAGAATGGCCGATCTCCACGTAGTTCATGAGGAACACATCTCGGTTATGACAGATCCAGTCAAACATCTGCAAAAACAAGTTTAAGTAACTGAGTAATTTTCTGGACACAGTTTAAAGCAAAACCGAGTTAAAAACTAGCAAGTGGCTAAATATTATGATTTGGAATTATTAAAAAAAAATATCAGATCTCAGCTAGCTTGCCTGATAAAATTAGACTCCAGGGGCAAATAGATAAAAACATAGCATTGATATTTCGTCCTGATAGGACTTCTTCAGAAACTAGGTTGAAAAGACATGTCAGTTTAAGTGGTTAGCCAGTTAAAAAATTTCTGAAAAAGGCCTAACTAGATAAATGGCTTTCCATTAATTTTTATAAATATTATGATTTCCCATCTCAAACTCAAGACAGCTAATCAGGCATCAACTGTATAAAGCTAATGGCATTTAACTTATACTTTTGCTGTTAGCTATTGATGTTATCTTATTGCACAGTACCAAAAACGGTTCCTAACCAAAATTGATTCTTAGTACCAACACTATTAGTATTTAGTAGCTAACTTAACAGCACTCATTCTCTAAAAAATAGTTTGTTAAAGTTGAAATTTACCTATGTTATAAAACTATATTGACCAAACATAAACAGCTCTATAATTTTGTGATTTATAGTTTTAGTTGGGCGCTTTCTACATAGATATTGTGTGGAATTAGTATAAAATAAATAAATTTGCCAAGTAAGAAGACGTAATAAGTAGGGGTGAGATATTTTCTGAGGGGACTAATATTCACAGGAGATGGAGATTATTTTGATGTGATCCCAATAGATGATCATAGATGTTGCCATATTCGAATAAATTCTCACTGATATTGCCATGATCGCAAAGAATGCTCACAGATCTTGCCGTTATTTTAGAGGAGATTTTGGTACATTCACCTGATGCCAATATGTTTGAGTTGGTACAGAAGTACCACTTTAAAAGTGCATAACTATAACTATATATAGTTATGTACTTTAGAAGTGCACATTTTAAAGTCGATTCATAGCACTGGTACCTAGGAGGATTAAACATTAAGGAGAGGACACGCTGTAGTTTCGTTGAAGCCAGCGTACTGGGGAGGGGGGGAGGCAGCGCTACTCTTCCGCCCCCCTCTCATACTGCGTTGTATGCGTTACTGGAAGATTTGGTAACAGAAATATCAATTAACTATTTAAAAATTAGACTTCATCATCCTACGAAAATTAAAAAGTTAAATTCTAACCGTAATATTAGGAACCTATTAAGAGGAAAGTCATATTTATGAACCAATAGTACGTTCAAAGGTGAGTAATTAATTTACACAAGGATGACTTATTTTTTGGAATTCGTTGTCCTTGTTTTTATTTTTTGCCATACTTGTATTGTGTATTATTTATAATACTCTAACCAGAGCGCGGGACTCCGGTTCATGGGGTCCCGGGTTCAAATCCCGCCATATCACCAATGGATTTTACTGTTCATAAATTAAAACTCAAATCATGAGTAGTATTGTATGTGTATTTGAACATTTTCTTAAAGAGAAATAAAATAAGTTTTAATCCTTTAAAATAATGATAAACGCACTTTGGCGGTCAGAATTGTTGAACATTCACACTTTTTACTCAAAGTTTCTTTAGGTAAACAGATCAAATATAGTTCAATATGATATTAAAAAATCAAGAATTCGATTGCCAAGAAATTGTTTTACTTTTTATGATTGTAATTTAATTGTAACGAATGTTGGTGTAAAAAAAGTTAGAGCGGCTTTGCATTTTTTCTTAACTTTGGCTATTTAAAATCACCTGCCTAGCACATAAATGACTTAAAACTAGTAAAAAATTATATTAACAAATCGAGAAAACTATGAAAAATTCAAATTTAAAATGTATTTCATCACCCGAATTAAAATTTTCATTTTAACCTATTATTAGTAAGATTGTTTTATAAACTGGAAAAATGAAAAAAAACTTTATTGTAATTATTTTTCTAAATACCACCTTTAAATATAGGTAAATATATATTTTTTATTTCGAGAAACTCTTAAGGAACACGAATAAATTGTTAATTTGTGTAGATACATAATATTTTTTTCAAAAACGTAATTAAAGTAATCATATGTTCAAAGTCCAGGTCAATTCTTTCAACTTTGATCTTCAATAATAAATAATAAATAATATTTTTTATAGGAATGATTGACACTGTTCGATAGGAAATTTAATTTACTTTAAGAATGCCATCGGTGAATAACACAGGTGTTTTAGTTTAGCGGCAATTTTAATTCGAAACAGCGCGCGTCGCGTTTTTCCCTATCTCTCCCATGTTATAGCCGAGGCTTTTTGCCACTCTACGGCTCCGCGTGCCCCTCTAGTGTTCTGCTAAAGCTGGCTTCACCGCAACACGTGTATTCCTATTCGCGTGCCCTCTCCTTAATGTTTAATCCTCCTAGACTGGTACTTTTCCCAGAAACTGGTAACACCAAGAACTGCTTATGTTACCGACACATCCCTAGTTTTTGAATTAAAGTTTGACTACATGATACAACACATATTACCAACCTTTTCACAGTCTTGTTCAAACAACCTCAACTGAAAGCACTGGTCCAACTTCAGCTTTTTATGGTGCCAAAGTTGGAGCAGGTGGTTTTTTGAGGTTCGGATGGCTTCGAGATTGTGCAGAATCTGAGGAACGGCAGCCTGTAGGTCAGGGTTGGACACTGTAGAGCTGGCCTCACTGTCTCTGCCTGAGTACCCACTGTCATAGCCACTGTTGCTGTCTCCAGACAACCTGCATACAATGAGTGATTACAAATCATATAACAGAGGAAGAATAATCATTATTATAAGATGGAACCCACAAAGTACTTACCTGTTCAGTTTCCATCCAAGCAGATCATCGTTTTTTAGGTGGGCCTAGCCAATTAAGCTCTACCACAGAATTATCAACACCTCTGGAACCTTCGATCTACAGTATAGTTAGGTAGAGTTATGTTAGGTTAGGTTTCTTGGTACAGAGAAAGCGTCCAGAGGCCATGGATCAGACTAAATAATCCATCAAACTAACAATAGTGGTAGATCTAAATCTGGTAGCTCAAGCATATTACTTCTTCGCTTGACTCTTAGAGCACTGCAAGTGTTAGTAGCAGTTTTCAGCATAATCTTTTTTATTTACTCTTGTATAAAAATAAGGTAGGCAAGGTTTGGTTATGTTACTATTAAGGGCTAATATCAGCCTTTGGGACTTTAAGGGATGATGAATTGTTCAGATATAAGTAAGATCTGTTCGCTTTAGTAATTGTATCAACAGTTTGATTTGTTGAATCCATGTAGGTTTATGGCAACAAATGCATCATCAGTTAGAGAATTTTAAAATCACTATTGATTCTAAAGAAACCAACTGTGAAGCATACGAATAAAGATGGATTTTCATTTTTATATACCTCTGCAGCAGACGCTGGCCCGCCACATCAATGTCTTGCACAGGTGCCTTCATGATCTTCTTTTTCATATCGTTGTGAAGGTCAAGCGCATGTTTGGCCCCAGCCACATCATCACCTAGATCGTTGCGGCTCAGGTCTTCTTGCAGATCATCTAGACGATCTAACAGATCAGCTGCCTGCCATGTAAAGTCCTCCAGAGCCTAAACACAACATGTCATTAGTAACTTTATAACAACATGACATATTGTGGAAGCGAGAATTATGAGGTGATGTAATAATGGGTATTGCCCAGAACCTAATGCACTCTGCCAACTGAAAAGTAATATTTATTGAATTTATTGTATTGAACTCTTACAGGTACCCCCTAACAGAGCCTCTTTCGTTCTTGACTCACTACAAAGCACCTCCTTTTCCACTATATATGAATACAATATCTGTAAATGCTTCTCTTTCAGTATTCCTTGATCTTCAGAGGTCTTCCAACTTTCCTCTTTCCACCATGTCTCGAGCCAGATTGATGATACCTTTCCTTATCCTTTATATTCAACCAAATCAACTTATTCATGGCATTCTAATTTAATTTGTTTCTAATAATGTTGACACACCCAAACTGATTTATATTAGACTTTATAACATCATGTGGTAAAAATCCTTGAAAAAATATAAGCATTATCTGCTTGAACAGTATGGTTGTATTCACAATATGAAAATACTCAATACTCTTACAAATAAATGGTTAATAGTTCTCATCTGAATTTTAAAATAGAAAAAATCTACCTCGCCTAAAGTTTGTAGAGTAAATTGGGTGTATTACCCTTATAGTGCTCGCCTTCAATTCTCAAGTTCATTGGTTCATTTCCAAGCAAGATACATTATGAACTCAGGATATTCCATTTGTCATTGGGATATCAATTAACAATGTATCAAAAATATCTAACCGAAGATAGACAACAAGATCAGGATTTGGATGATTCCTTTTAATAGACAACACCGCTAAGATAAAATAAACATAAAAAAAAACACTTACCAGTCTCATCTCGATCCACTGACTGTGATCGTAATGCAGGGTTCCCTCTAAATCTGACGTCAGTTGTGTTGTGTCGATGATCTTGGGCAGAGCTTCCAGGCTGATCATGTTGGTCTGCAATGGAAAGTTTCTGATTAAATTGCTACTTTATTAATTTTAAAAGAAATAAATAACCTAATATCGGATAAACATGGCATAATAAGAATACAAGGCATGAAGTGCTTTGATCTATGAAGCTTAGTTACTGACTTTGATCAGCTGTTTATTTCGTCAGGAATGTTTATTATATGGCCAACTATCAAGTATAGATGGGTGGGCTGAGTTTGAAATCATCAAAAATCTAATGATTCTTAGGATTGAATTCGTTTTTAAAAACCCTTCTCATTGCAACTAAAGAACTTAAGTGGAAACCCATCTAAAAAATTGGACACACAATTTTATGTTATGATCGAGATACTGTAAAATGTATCAAGAAATAAAGCTAATTGTATTTCAATACAAATCCGATTCAAAGTCGGATTTTGAAGGTGTATCACTGAATATTCAACAAGCAATTCCCAACAGCTACATGAAACATTTATTGACAACTGTTCCCAACCAATATTACCTTGAATACCTCTCAACACCTAACGTATAGTTACGTTCTACAGACTTAATTAAATTCCAAACCAACGGAGAGAGTTTTAATATTCATCTTGCCTTTTGAGTTATTTAAATTTTTTTTAATACAACTACTGCTATTAATTTTCTTTGTAGTTAGAAAGGTGCAAGTAAAATACTGAGGAAAAGTAGGTAAGCTTATTGTTTGTTAAACAGCTGATCTTGGTAAAAAAAAAAAAAAAACATTACACAATATTCTTAATCTAATACAGTACCCATGCATTTCAACCATGGGTTTACAGCACAACTATGCCATTTTAATGTGTACAGGAATTGATCCTCTGAAACTGGCTGAGTCTGGTGTAACTAGTGATTGTTAGGTTAAGTTAGGTAATGAGTTGAATTTACCTGACGATAAATGCTCAAGCTGGGTTAAATTAGGTTTGGTTTTACAAACAAATGTTACAATGGTTGGTTACAGTTAGATTAGATATGATTAAATCTACAAGAATGAAGAATATAAATAGCCTGCTACAGTTTTGTTAGTTTAGGTTACATTGTGCTTAGGACTGTTTGGATTAATTACTGATAGCTTAAGGTTTGTAGCACTGATGAATGTTAGCTAGATGGATGCTATGTTAGTTAAATTGAGGGAAGGTTAGGGTTTTTTTGAGCTAACAAATGTAGGCTCATTACATTGAAATAAGATTAGATTTCGTTGCACTATGGAATGTCAGGCTGGTTACAGTTAGGTTAGGTAAAACTCCCTACCTCAAACTTGTACTTATGACTGCCCAGTGATGTGCGCTGCTTCTGCCAGAAGTTGTCGGGTTTGATGATGTACGCGACGTGGACGGACCCCGGGAAATGTTCCTGCAGGACTTTCAGGATAGGCTTGACAGTGGACCAGGTCGCTCCTCTCATGTCAATCACCACTGTGAACCCGATCTCTCGCACATCCTCCCTGCAACATACATGTTGACCAGTTCAATCCTGAGTAAAGACAATATGATTGACAATTTGAAAGACCCAGCTATCACTCTCGCACATCCTCCCTGCAACATGTTGACCAGTTCAATCCTGAGTAAAGACAATATGATTGACGATTTGAAAGACCCAGCTATCACTCTCGCACATCCTCCCTGCAACATGTTGACCAGTTCAATCCTGAGTAGACAATAAATGATTGATGATTTGAAAGACCCAGCTATCAATCATTGGATTTTTAATTAGAAGTCCAGGATCTATTGAAGAGAAATTGCTGGGAGTATTAGGCAAACCAAAGTGCCTTACTCTATCTATATATTTAATACGCTAGGCATATTTTTCATAAAAGCATAACTTTTTTTCATAATTGTTTTGGAGCAGAGGTGCTACCGATCACCATGTCCAAGGTGTCGTAAAAAAGGTCTTAGCATGTAGTTTTGCCATCAAACAAAAAAACTTTTAAATTCCATCAGGGCTCTGCCCCAGTGGCCTTCAAGGTTCCCATGCTATTCTTAGGGAGAAAATGTTTGTTTACATTTGAACAGATGAATACTTTGAAATTGACACTAATATTTGAAACAGCTGGTTTTTATTGGAGACATGTGCTATAAGGATTTGTAGTTGAACAGAATTTATTTACACAAAATCAAAACATAACCAAAAAACTGTAACGTGTCAAGGGTAGGGGAGGGGTTGTTTCCTTTAGAATACTTACCAAAAGATAATTTGCCAAGGATAGCTAGTCGAGCGCGGAAATACTCTTCCAGAGTCCAATTCTCTAAGTAGAATTCACCTGATTAAAATATACTAGAGAGGTGTCAACAAGGCTACAGTTTGCATTTAGACCACTTGTGTATTAGAGTCACTCAGATGTCAGATAATGATATGTGGAAGATAAACCAACCACTCAATCAGGTTTCAGTTTTATGTGTCATCACACGACTCTAATACGAAATAGGAAATAGCTAATCAAACAAAATGGACAACAGAGCAAGTTAAATTTTAATTGGTAGAAAAAATCTACTTTATTACTTTATCTAGTCAAGGAGTCTTATCTGAATAATGGGTTGCACTGAATTCATATCAAGATAACTTTAAATATAAGGCCGAAAGCTATTTATTTTTCTAATTCAATGCTGTTTCCTTTCATTACAATTTTTTTTTTTTGGTAAGGAATATTTGAACAACCAAGGAAGGGAGTTTGGTTGTCCACAAGGACGGTCTGTTCGGTATTGATAGGTGTCCGTTAGTTAGTTAAGTGATATGGACATAGCTCTGTACGTCAGAAAGTTATGTTGGGTCGTTGGGTGTATCGCCAAGTGGGGTTAATAAAAGGTGCAATGGGTTTTATACAATCAAGCTATAGAGTAGAATGCAGAAAAAATTCAGATCCAACAAATATCAAACACTAGAGTCAGCTTACTAGCTTACTACACTACAAGCAGGTATTAAAATTAAGCAAGCAATGCACCCAAAATAAATGACAATACTTACTCTAGCAGTTTATAGTTAGTATAAAAGCTAGACAAATGATGATATGTACAGCTGCAGTAACACCAGTTTAAATATAAAATCAAAATATCTCACCCGTGGAGTGAATAATCATCTAATCCTATGATATCCTTAAGGTCGAACCTATTGAAATTTCACTCCGATACAAAGGAAAAATAAACCCTATACTTTAGTAAGCTATCCGAAAACCGAAGGAAACTACGGGACTAACTTTAAGGTTGGTTAGGAAGGTTCGGGGTGGCCTACCCGTGGAATGTGTACGGGTTGTCCCAAGGAAGTTATTGTAGGTTAGACAGGCTTCTAGAACTCACCCGGTTGGGATGAATGAGTTCCCAAGGAAACGTCCCAAATTAGCCCTTCGTAGCCGACTTATCTAACCTAACTCGTTTAGTCGTATTCGAAATAAAACGAGAACTAACTTGGCGTTACCCTATCTTTATGTATCGTATCAATCTACTGTCAAAATAAAATATAATAACTTGATTTCTCGCAATTAATTAAATATTATAAAATTAAAAATATAAGATGTATAAGATTTGCCGCCCTAATACCGTTTTAGGGGATGAAAGGTATATAAGTTTCCTGTGGTTGGAATACAGGACACCTCACAGGAGTTTTTATTTTGGGATCGATAGGAATTATGATTCTCGCTCGGAAGGAACTAGCGAGACCCCAAGGAATATCGAATTAAAATAATCAAAATAATATTTCTTCGAAACAACCTTTAAACGGTTAAATAAAAATACCACTGGTCTCGGTTGCAATAATAAAGTAATAGCAGACAAACTTACTATTTACGAAATAAAATATCTTACAAAAGAAATATTTAAGGGCGGAATAATATCAAAAGTTGGCAAAGTGGTCGAAGTTAAAATAATAAATTCGAAAATTCACAATGGTATAAGATCGACACACTACCTTGTATCCTGGTACTAATCCAAAAACAAGACACTAGACACTAGTCACACTAGTCACTCGTAACTAGTACTTAGAACTCGAACTTATAACTGCGCGAGCGTAAAACGAACTGTCTAGCCGAGGGTGTCGCGGCAGTTTTGTTATAAGGATCACCGATCATTGGCGCATGCGTCGCGGCCAGCAGGAATAAACGTGCAGGCAGCTTTGTGCGCCGTCGCTACGGCCAACAGGTCTTTGCCGGCCTGCCGACTCATTTATAATTCGTGTTCTACTTTACGAGTTACATTTAATATTAACGCAAATTATACTTTATAGTCTTCGTTACAAAATAAATTAAATATCCTCTAAAATAATAACAACTAAAATAATACTATAAAATATTCTTTAATACGATGTGAAACTAAAAATTGTTACTACGAAAATAGTTACCAAAGAAAAATACTGTCACAAAACGTTCGACATAATGGACACTATAAGACGTCCCACCACGGACGCGTGTGTACGGATGAGTGTTCTGGGGTAAGGATGCTAGAAAAATCTATATATTAATTTGAAACTGTTTTTCTTTGTCACAGCTATTTTGAGAGAACGGCTGGGCGTAGAAACTCGGTAGAGGTGTCTAAAGAAAGGTCTTGGTCTGTAGATGAGCCATCAAAAGAGAAACATGGTGAATTCCCTTGGGGCTCTGCCCCAGTGGCCTTTGAATTCCCATCCCATGTTATTCTTATGGAGGAAAACGGGGTTTTTGTCACAGCTAATTTGAGAGAACGGCCGGGCGTAGAAACTTGGTAGGGGCCTCTAAAGAAAGGTCTTGGTCTGTAGATGAGCCATCAAAAGAGGAACGAGGTAAATTCCCTTGGGGCTCTGCCCCAGAAGCCTTTGAAGTTGCCTCTTCAGATTTGTTTACATTACGACCATATGCATAATTCTACACTACTTTTTAATAAAACAGCTGTTAATATTTAAATTGTGATTTATTGAATTTGTCAAAATGAAGTACAGTATTTGCAATGGGTTTCTCTGATTTTAAAATGGATTTTCTTTTGCATCGTGTCATGTTTTGCAATATAATGTTCTATTACCAAATCAGTGG